TTTGTGTAGCCAGTATCACTTAGCTTGTCAGACATCTTAGTGTAGGCTCCCTGCTATCTGGGCAGGAGTTGGGGGGACGGACGGACACACAGTCTTTCATGACTGGGTGCTTGAGCTGCCAGTCAGCATGAAATTTTCCAGCCCTGCTTGAGAAGGCAAGATCTGTGTTCACAACTAACGTTGTTCATAACTTCAGAAACAGTAACTGCCTAGAAAGAGAGGCAGCCCAACGACGTCTTAACAGTAGTAACTCTGAGTCACCGAGCTTGCTGCTTATTGTTGCTTGCAGCACCCCATCTGTTGAACTGGTACATCTCAGGGCACTTAACGGTCCACTTCTACGGCTGAATCATTGACTTGATGGTGCAGTAGAAGGAACAGGAACAGCTTCATCTAATCTAGAGAAGTGACCCCATTGTATGATTTCCAACCTTCAATCAGTCTTCTTTTCTGAGATCTGGCTTTAAAAGTATCTGTTTCTCCCTTTACTTGCTTATTCTCACTTCAGATGCTATTCAGTCTCTATTGTGGGGAGTGTTCTTAACCAGATTATTCTCAGAGATGAATGAAGGCCTTTGCTGCACTTTGATGAGATATATGCATGTTTTCCCATATGGGGAGAGATGTAGGAAGAAATTAACATTTTAAATGATCCTGAGTGTCCTGTAGTAGCAGGATGTTGTTTTCACTTCAGATTTGCATAGAGTTCTGGGCAATTGTTTCAGAGTCTACCAGATATTATTGAGTGTTTCACCCTACAGTGGACTTTAGCTACTGCAGCAGTCAGATTTCAGATTGCCCAGGCAGTTTCCAGATAAACATCTGAAAACGATTTGAAGGTAAACATGTAGACATTTCACATTACAACAGAGTTCTGTTTCGTTAATTCACCATGGAATTGCTGATAGTTATGACGTAGTTCAACAGTTGGAAATGGCTTTATTACAATTTTAAGTAGCTACCTTCTTTGCTAGTGGGGCATGTGTGCTTTAGGACAAAAAATAATTTAATAACTGCTTAATACCATATGTTTGTTGAATGCCTCCCACCATGAAGAAGAAGAAGAAGAGATTGGATTTATACCCCGCCCTTCACTACCCAAAGGTGTCCCAGAGTGGCTTACTCCTTTCCCTTCCCCTCCCCACAGCAGACACCCTGTGAGGTAGGTGGGGCTGAGAGAGCTCTTGACAGAAACTGCTCTTTTTCAAGAACAGCTCTTATCAGAGCTTCGGCTTGCCCAAGGTCATCCAGCCAGGTGCAAGTGGAGGAGTGGGGAATCAAACCCGGTTCTCCCAGATTAGAGTCCACGCACTTAACCACTACACCCAACTGGAATGAATGTGAATATATCTAGCTGCATCATGCAGGAATATCAAGTTACCTTCGGGCTGCTATTTGAATGTAATGGGAGTTCAGACTACTTAGGCTGTAGCTAAAATCCCCCAAATCAGGGCACTACAGAAATAATGTTGTTTAAGAAAGCAGATTGCATACTCCATAATTAACTCACAGGAATAAACCCCCCCACTAAGGGCCCTACCTCACTTGATTGGAAAAGACATTTGGAACACATTCTTTAGCTAACTGGGAACTTGTTCAGGCAATTGTAATCTTAAACTGGTGCGTTAATTGTGCCAGGTCCTTTTAAATACTTGGGAACTGGGTTTGCCATGAAGCTGAGAGCCCTGCTGATGGGTAGGTGGCAAATGGAAAGTGAGCATTCCGTCAGCTGCAAACATTGCTTTCTGAAACCGAAGTCACACTGCTATCAAGAAGACTGATGAATACAATTTTGTCTTTGGTGCCCATTTACTGTTTCTAATTCAGTACTTTAAAGATAAAACCGTAGTCATATGCGCTACATTGTCTATTGACACCCACAGCTGGCAAATGATCTATCACAAGGAACCCGTCAGCCTGCTGTTTCCTGGTCCACCATTTGAAAAATACTGATCTTAACAGCATATGTTCACACAGTTTTATCTTGTACGATTTATATGAAAATTTGAAAAGTTTTTAACCAAAAAATTCTGCAGAAGAATATACTGTTATAGAATGCTGTATCTCTGTGGAAGAGTCCTGTAATCCTGTGCATCCAGAGATATTAATACAGAGATATCAAGGTTCTGTTCCCACGTCTTATCTCAGGAATTTATATTGTGTGAATCTTGGCCAGTGCAAGATAGTGTTCATACTGTTAATAGGCAGCTGTGGTTTTAAGAGTCAACAAGTGCTACCATACATGGCTTGATAGTGATTGAATTTGTAGTCTTTTCTGGCAGCTCTCTGATAGAAGTCTTCTTGATCACAATTTTGGGGAGTTTCGTGCACCTGATATTGTCTAGTGCTACCCTAAGTTAAGTAGTATTTCTGCCTTTATAGAAAGGTTTGCAAGGCTGCTCAAGATCACATAAGAGGTTCATTGTGGTGCCGCAAGATTATGACATTTCCAATTTGAGTTTAAGGGCATCTGCAATCTACTTCAGTGCACATGCATACCATGGAATATGGCCATTGAATTTATGGAAAGCTGTCTCAAAGTTGTCCTTGTTAGGCACTTGTTTGTTTTATTATGTTTTTGGGCAACCATGGGATAAACTGTTAGATGTTAGTCTTGTAACCTGGCTGTAGCTGTGTACAGTGGTTCCAGATGACCTCTGCATTGCTCTCTTGGTCATATGTCTCTGGTGGATGCCATGTTGTCCTGCAATACCTTCGCATGCTTCAGATGTGTTTGTGTGATGGTAAATCACCCTTGCAACCCATGGCATTGTCCTGGTGCTGCCCCTTTTACCTTAAGCATGACATTGACTCTTGTAATGCAGTTAATTTGTAGTGGCAAAAGTGCTCCTTTCTTGTGGTTTGAGTAATTCTATAAATAGGTGAATTGTATGTGGAGAGAGGAAGAAAATGAGCAGGGAAATGGAAAATGTGTTCTCACAGTTTGGATTTTGGAAGTGAGGGGGGAGCTGCTTAATGGTAGCTAATGTGGTTCATATTGTGATGTGTAGTGTATAGTTCCATTACCTTTATGTAGGTATATAGCTGCTTTTTCAAACAGCCATATGAAAAAAACCTTAAATTTTATGCTCCATATTTAGCTTTTCGTCTCCCTTTGGAAGAAAGATCACCTGTTTCCTATGATCTTGTAATTGTTTCTTGTTTGGACCCTAGTAATTAATGGACCATTGAAGGACATAAGCATTTGTATGCTTATGAGAGAATTTGGTATTCCTGAGGATCTTTACCAGTGAACAACTCTAGGAAGCATATTCATGTAAAACATCTATAGATATATCCACTGCTTTTAGTTACTATCGTATTTGTGGAAGCATCTCATTATGCCACCTCCCATCACATTCTGCTTTGAACTTGTCTTCATCAGTTATGAGAGAGCTTCGTCTACTACACAGCTTCTAAGATGTGATGCTCCTTGCCCTTCTGAGTATGGAGGATCAGAAAATCCTAAAATCATCATTCAGAACAGAACAAACCTTTCTGAGCCTGGAGTAATTGAGGGGGGAGGGTTTTTTGGAGGGGGGAGTAGGGCACAAGGATGATACCCTAATGGAGGCAGTCTCCTTCATTTACGGGCTATTTCTTGTGTACGGGAACTTGGATCCCCCCCTTAAAGTTCTATACATTTTCATGACAATGAAAACAATAAAGTCTTATGACACTTCTAAGACGAATAAACAAATGATCCATCTACTCCCCAGACTAAGAAATGCCCAGGTCTGCTCAAATGTGAGAAAAAGTTATTGATATAGGAATCTGCTGTTATGTGCACAGGTTTGTATGTACAAGGGGATGAATAAAAGGAAGAGGTTGGCTCGGACCTAAATTTATTGTACAATAAGTGTTTGTCAGCTAGAATTTTTTCAGATGAATGTGCCTGACAATGAGGTAATTCTAGTGAGGAGGCTCAGATTGGTTGGAAGGCAGATATTCATGTGACTTGTGCTTCCTTTACAATTGTATCTTACTTGCTTATGGACTTTTAAATTTCAACTTCCCATAAATTGACCAAGAAGGCAAAAGCTCAGGTTCTCAAGAGGAGGATTCTACTGCCAAGTCTTTTTTTTCTCATCAGAAGAAACCCTATAGTCAAGAAGTGATTTAGAAGAAAGCCCATGAACAGTTTCTCCTCTAATTTCTTGGATCTGCATCTTCAAGCTGAGGTCTTACTACAGGCCAAGTTTGTGTAATGATGCAGCATACTTGTTAGGTCACCCACAGGTTTGTGGCTAGGAAGTGGAGATTATTTTGCAGAACATGGGGTTGCAGGCTGATTGTGCACATTCTTGGGACTGTGCACCCTACTGGTGGCTTACTGTGGTCTGTTTTCACAGCTAGTTTCCTCTACCCTGTAATACTTGAGGCCAGTTCACATTTGTGCAGTTTTTGTGTGTGTGTTGACTTTGATTTCTTGCAAATTTCATGGGAAGAAGTAGGGTGTGGGGGCAGCAGGTGGCATGGGATTGAGTACTCTAGAAAGGAAGCTATGTTCACAAGACCAATGTGCTGAAAATGGATCAGTGACAACTCTGCAACTCTATGAGGAAGCAGTTTCCTCTTCTCTTGGATCACAAAGCTCATTGGTGCTCATAACCTCAGCCGTGTAATGCTCTGTTCTTCTGTTATCTCTCTCTCTCTTTTTTTTAAGATTCCCCTGGATGTATTTTTTTCTGCTTCAAAGCCATTTTGAATTTCTTCATGGCCAGAGCAGTCATGATCCCACATCTTCCCCCTCCCCCATTCCTTACTCTCTACCAGCCTTGGGTCCTCTCAAATCACAGCCTTTTCCAAAACAGTTCCACTGGGACTATGCAAGTGAAGGTGAGTGTAGCAGTGTTGATTATTATGGTAAGCTAGGCCTTTTGAACACAGGACTGGTAAGAGTTGAACCCTTCATAGAATTTCCTCCTTTGCTTACCTGCTATGGAAGGTACTTGCTTTGTTCTTCAGCCTGCTCTGACACTTGGCATTCTTATCCTCAGGCGATGACAAGTATGGGCGGAAAGTGATAGTGTTCAGTGCCTGCCGGATGCCTCCCAGCCATCAACTTGATCACGTGAAGCTGCTGAGGTGAGTGCTGCTTGTAGTACTACAGCCCTATATTGATTGGAACTTGATCTTGAGGATTTGCCCAAGAGCTCAAGTCTACAGAAAGCAACTCTTGTTTGACTAAATGCAGTTGGGCACGTATTAAGTCCAGACTAGTGCATAAGTGAAAATTTCTTACGCTCATTCACGCTGATCAGGATTGCCTCTCATCTCTCCCTGTCTGCCCTTCCAGGCTCTTATCCAATATTTCTGTGCCAATACTAGCTAGGCTTTCCTTATTCTTACTGAGATTTACAGGAGAGTAGTGCTGCTAGATGAAAGCCACATGCTTAGGAGTGTCTGTTTCCCCTCAGCTATTTGAAATACACTTTGGACCAGTATGTGGAGAGTGACTATACCTTAGTGTATCTGCATCATGGCCTGACCAGTGAGAACAAGCCATCCCTGAGCTGGCTGCGGGATGCCTATCGGGAATTTGACCGCAAGTAAGTGGATGCGAATGATGATGTCAAAAGGGCCAAGATGCTTAGGAAGGGAAATAATGTGTAACTAGCAATGTAACACGGGGTGCGCAAAGGACAGCATAACACAGTAGCTTTCCTGGTGAAGGTTTTAAGCTTGCTTTTCATCTTCATCACAGCATACCAAGTTTCTTCTTGTGTTCCTTCATTTTTAGATACAAAAAGAACATTAAAGCATTGTACATTGTACATCCAACTATGTTCATCAAGACACTACTGATTCTCTTCAAGCCCTTGATCAGGTAAGAGGGGCATCTGTCTATCTCTCATTGGCAGAAATTATTATTATTATTAGTCATTTCGTAGAAAAAGAGGTGCAGGAGTTCATTAGCATAACTCATTAGCATAACTTACATCATCAGAAGTGTGTCAGAAGGCACACTGGACTGTTTTGGATTGCTAGCTATTGGGGGGGGGAATGTGCAGATCTGTCCTCGCAGAGGAGGGAGAGCTTGTACCTGAATAAAACTTGGTCTCAAAGGTGCCACTGGACTGTTTTGGACTGGGGGGGCGGGGGGAGCTCTGCAACTTACCTGGCTGCTTCTTGCTCTGACTGAGGGCTGCTGGGAGCAGGGGGTGGGGCTTGTTGCATGTGCCTGCCCCCTGGGCTCTTTACTGCCAGAGCTCCGCTCCTGTGCGCTCCTGCAGGAAATGACCCCTGATTATTATTTTTATTATTTCTGGATCTCCCAGTTCCTGAATACACAAGGCTGTGGGCGATTTACAGCAAAAATACAAAACTACAAAAATACAGATTAAAATCAACAAATCAGTTATTCTTAATTTAATAGTCTCCAGATGGCATCCATAGGTTAATCTAAAACCTACTCTGGGCTGTTCTCTTATCTTGTGGGCAGGTTAAGGAGGAGCCTGAAGTGGGCAGAATGGAAGAGGGTGCCAGCTATGATGGAAAACTGTTGCTGTCCTCAGTCAAAAACCTGGCAGACCATCTCTGCCTGGCTGGCCCCGGGTAACTGCATTAAGTCCCGCAAGATTCTGATGGAGGTTGGCAGAGAGTCCCACCTGGCCGGAGCCAGGGCTGAGAAAACCCTGGCTCTGGTTGAGGACTGCCAGATACCTTTGGGGCCAGTTGCTTTCAGCGGAGTGTAACGCTCTCCTGAGGACATACCGGAGGGAACGGGTCCTGAAGACACACAGGTTCCAGACTGCTCAAGGCCTTAAAGGTCCATACCAGCACCTTGAATCTGATTTGGTACTCCACTGGAAGCCAGTGTAGCAGGCGCAGCACAGGTCGTATATGTGCTGTCCATGCCGTTCCCATCAGGACTTGTGCCTCTGCATTCTGGATCAGCTGGGGTTTCTGGGTCCGTCTCAAGGGAAGGCCAGCATAGAGTGAGTTACAGTAGTCTAATCTGGAGGTGACTGTTGTATGGATTACTGTGGCTAGGTCAGGGTGCAACAGGAAAGAGGCCAATAGCTATGCTTGGCGTAGATGGAAAAATGTCACGCTTGGCAATATTTATTATTTGGGCCTCCATAGTTAAGGAGGCATCCAGGACCACACCCAAACTCCTGACTGATTGCGCCACTGTTAGTGGCACCCTGTCAAGGGTGGGAGTTCTATGCCCCAGCCCTGACATGCCCCCCCCCCAGCCACAGAACCTCCATCTGTCAGATTCACTCTCAGCCTACTCTTTTTTAACCATCCCACCACAGTCTCCAGACCCTTGACCAGATTATGTGGGGAAGTATCTGGGTGGCTGTCCAGTAGCAGATATAGCTGGGCGTCACCAGCGTACTGGTGACACCCCAGCTCCGCACTAGCTGGGCAAGGGGGCACATATAGATGCTGGGGTGTGGGAAGGACAGGCTTCTGTAAGAGCCAAGAAGTCACTGGCTTTTGTTGTAAACACCACTGAGTCTATTTTGCTTTAAAAGGAAGCTTCTGCAGTTTTTGTTGTGGGAAAATATTAATGTCTACAAACAGTTCAGAAGCTTAAAGTAGGTATCCAGTATGGTGGGATTTGTTCTGCAAGGCTGCATACACTTCAGTCCACTTCTTATACAGTGTTGCACCCTCTGATGTCCTTTCTTCCCTGTCATTGTTTGCAAGATCCTCTCCATGGTCCATCCAGACATCATGCTTTTGACATGTTCTTTGTCTTGCATCATGGAGTTTTTGGAAGCAGTGGGGAAGAGGATGTCATGTTCTTGCATCTTCCTCTGCTAGATAGTACCTAGTGCTGGCATTATTATTTATTTATTTTATTTAAAAATATTTTTATGCCACCTTTCTGCCTGATCAGGGTCCCTAGGGCAGGGCTCATAAAAACATTCAGACAGTTGAACAATTAAAAACATTTAGAATTATAAAATAATTTAATAAAAACACATAGACACCAGATAGCACTGGTAACACCACTAACTGAAATTGCCCTAGAGGGGCATGGCTAAGTGGAAGAGCCTCCGTTTGGCATGCAGAAGGTCCCAGGTTCAATCCCAAGCATCACCAGTTAAAAGGACCAGGCAACAGATGGTATGAGAGACCTCTGCCTGAGACCCTGGAGAGCTGCTGTGAGTCTGAGTAGACCACACTGACCTTGATGGATTGACAGTCTGATTCAGTATAAGGCAGCTTCATGTGTGTGTTCAGATTAGTCTGGCAGCTAATAGCCCAGTAATACTCCCCCCCCCTTTTTGTTTGTCATTATCTTAATTTATGCTTTCTCCTGGTCAGCTTGTACAACTTGTGAGGGACAGTAATTACAACTTCCCAGTTTCTGCTGAGTCTTCTATTGAGCCGCTCATCAGAGAATGAAAGTGTCTTTAGATGGCCGGTAGAATAGGCTTGCTACAAACCTTGCCCATACTCTGAAAGGGAATGTGGGAGAGGGAATAAAGAGCACAAAACTGTTAGGAATGATTAGTGCTGCTGTTCTGTGTTTATGAAGCAGTGGCTCAGCCCATTGCCATGCCTAAGGTTTCCATCACTGTCCATATCCTTACCTTTGTGCAGCAGGACATGCTACCGCGCCAGGGCTCTCTTTGTAGCAGGAACTCCTTTGCATATTAGGCGACACACCCCTAACATAGCCAATCCTCCAAGAGCTTACAGTAGCCCCTGTAAGAAGAGCTCTGTAAGCTCTTGGAGGATTGGCTACATTAGGGGTGTGTCGCTTAATATGCAAAGGAGTTCCTGCTACAAAAAGAGCCCGCCACCGCCCATGTGGTTCCTTCCTCTTTTCAGCACCAGCGTTGCCCGTTCATTCCACATGGGCCGTTGCAGCCCTTAATCCACTCGTTGCTAGTGATGCCTTTTACCCTGACTTCTTGTGTATCTTTTCATCATCTCTGTCTTACAGCTTTAAGTTTGGGCGGAAGATTTTCTATGCAAACTACTTGAGTGATCTGGAGGAGCATGTGAAGCTGGAGCAGCTGGGGATCCCAAGCCAGGTGCTAAAGTGAGAGCCTGAGAGGAGACTCCGCCATAGAAGGGGGCGGAGTGGAAGGGGGAGTTGGGGACGGGGAATGGTCCTGGGGGTCTAGTTTCCCCTCAATCTTATTCTGCTTCCCCTTTTTATTGCCTTTATGGATGCTGTCTTCCAGGTATTTTATCTGTCCGTGTCGTTCCTTTTGCAACTCATTAGTTTTCAAATTGTTGATTCGGGGAATAAAGGCTGTCTGGGATAGTCTGTCATCCCATTGGACTAGTCTTGAGTATTTACACTGCTTACATCCTTACTCCAGTTTCTCTCTGCTCTTTTCAGAGAGCATACATACCTTCTTGCATTATCACTCCACAGATGCCTCTTTGTTTCCCTAGTAGATACATCAGTGAATTATTGTAGGGAGTGTGAGAAATGTGTAAGGAGTTGCCAGGAATTTTGGCGCTTCTGTTCCCATGGCAGCTGAACAGTGGGCCTCCTGCTTGGGACACTTGGCGTGGGGCAGGGTGCTGCCATATGCACCTATGAGTTTCTCTCACTGCAGGTATGATGAGTATCTGCGATCACTGCAAAAGCCCTCCCAGGTGCCTCAGAAGACAACCCCGCCTCGCCCTCCCCTGCCAAACCAGCAGTTTGGAATCTCTCTCCAGCAGTGAGTATCCTTGTCACTGATTGGTGGGCTCAGTGCGTTCATCACCTGTACTTATATAGTTCTAGAAGTGCTGTCGATATCTAGGAGTTGTGACTGTGCCTGCCTGCCTCTTCTGTCAGAGTGAGCTGCCAAGATCTAATCTGGAGGTATGCTGATAAGGCTCAAAAGGCGTTTAGAATTCTCAGGGGTGGAAAATGGTCAGTAAAATCAGTAAAAGTCAGTTTTTTCATCTTGGTCAGTAATTTGTCAGTTTTTTAAAACATTGGTTAGTAAAGTCAGTATTTATTTGATTTTTGTGAAAGCAGTTTGTGTTTTTCCATTTTCATTACTGCATTTTTGGGGAAACAGGATGACTTCCCAGTGAGAAGACAGATTGTTTTCAGTTTAGTTATGAAGTACTTTAAGGACTTTGTTCCTAAGAGTAAAAGTGATTTGGTGAAATCTTCTACAAAGTATAGAAACATAATTAACCTCTTAAAACATGAGACAATGAAAGTAGAGGTGATAGATATTGTGGGATTCAACACAGCACAGCTCATGCTAGAAGGAGTGGAGAAAGCAATGGAAGAAGAGGACAAGTGAAAAAAATGCTTGTGGATGCAGTGCAGAAAACTGTTGAGAAACGAAAGAGCTCGTGAATAACTTTATTTATTTATTTTTTCAATTTATACCCCGCCCTCCCTGTCCGAGTGGTCTCAGGGCGGCTTACAAAGAGATTAAACATATAGGTAACAAATTATATACAATCTTAAAACAAATAATAAAACGCTACATTATCATAAAGTGGTAGTGAGTGATCAAGTACTTATAACAATGCTTACAGAAGTCAGAACCAATACTAGTGTTGTAATCAGACAATCTATATTGGTGGTTGGCTTGTCTTGGTCTCTATATTTAGGCAACAGCACAGGCTGTTGGTGGTAAGCCAAGGACCAGGGCACTGTCACTTCTCAGTTATTTGATGTTATTTGGTGTGGCTCCTTAG